AAATTGAATCCCTTCAAGATAAACTTATAGATTATCAAATCTCAGAATCACAATTCAAAAAAGAAGTCTCTAAGATTGAAAGTCAATGCAAATATTTACATAATGACACTTACAAAAGGCTTGAATCACTGAAAAAAGAAAGAATAGAAGAACAATTAGCAAAGTTTAAGGTTGTAACAAATAAATTAATTAAAGAAGGCAAAATGACAGAAGAAGAAAAAACAACCTTCATTGGAATATTAAAAAAAAAATATGATGTTTAATTTCTTTTTTATCTTTTTTTAGAAAAATATTAAATAATTCAAATCAATAAAAAATTAATTATTTTAATGTTTTATCTAAATTTAAATTGAGAAAATATATTTGTGATGGATACTTTTATTATAATAACTTTTTTAAAAAATGATCAATAATGATAATAAGGATTTTTTAAATTTTAAATAAACTTTCTTTTTTTTTTAGTTTAATTTTCTTATTAACAAAGATATTCATATTTTTTTGAGAAAAATATTTCTGATGGAAGCCATTAGCCGGTGATTATCATGATCAAAAGGATGTTCCAAGTGAAAATGATTATTCTATTTCTTTAAGAATTCAACTTGGAGATTTTGTTTATTCTACTTCTGGCGATTTAGATGGACAAGACAACAGTTCTAAATTTGGTTATCTTTATCATAATGTAGAATCTTCATATAAAGATGTTGTTGGAGAAGTAGATTTATATAAAGCTAACCATCATGGATCAGAACACTCTAATAATGCTGAATGGTTAGGAGTTCTTAAACCAACAGTTTCATTAATTTCATGTGGTCATGGTAATCTTTATAAATATCCAACTGAGCCAGCTGTTTCTTTAATGAATAAGTATTCAAAGAAGATTTATTTGACTGAAGATTGTAATGCTGCAGTCACCGATAAATTTGATAAAATTGTAATTGTTGGTAATGAAATAATTGTTCATTACCCAATAGGTGGATCTACATTTACTGTTACTGACCTTAATAACACTTTTAAAATACATATAATGTAGAAAAATAAACCATAAAACAGTTTTGAAATTATTCATTCTTCAAAGAAGAGAAAAAATAAAATTATTTTTATTTTAAACCCCAAACATGTTTTATTTTAGTCATAAAAATAATGATAAATAATTTGTTTTATACATAAATGATATATAAAAGATTTCACTTTACTGTTCAAAAAAGAACTTAAAAAAGTACAATGGAATTTAACGAATTGATTGAAAAACATAAAATTCAAATGGACAAACAACTCTTAGCGTCTGTAAAAAAACTTTTAAAATACCAAAGTGGTTTATATTATTTCGTTCATAAAAGGAAACTTATAATTCAAATATTTGTTTATGAACATCTTTCTGTTCATGTTGTGATTCGTTCAGGAAAAGTTCGTTATTACATATACAAATCTACTGAAGACATAGACAACCCATTTATTGGAAAACATCAAGAAGCTCAAAATTCTAACCTCTGGGAGTCAACTTCATTGTTTGACTCAGTGATGAGTTTAATAAAAAACTTAAAAGATATTCCAATAGACTATAATAAAAGAATGATAGAGTTAGAAATTTTAAAAACACAGTTACTTAATAATAAAATCTCAGTACAACAATTTAAAAATAAATTTGATAAGATTTGTATTTGTCAGTATATGAGAGATATAACCATAACAAGTCTTAAAGAACTTGAAGAAGAAAAAAGAAAGGTCTTAGTTGAAAGAGTTAAGTTTACACTTGATAAAATGAAAAAAAATAAGGCTATTACAACAGACGAATATTACCGATTTATTGATCTGGTAAACAAAAGAGAACAAGAAAAGTATTTTTATCAAAAAATAACTGACCAATAAATATTTTGTTTTTTATAACAACATTAAGTTTATTAAAAAACAAAAAAAGTTAAAAAGAGTAAAAATCAAGAAAAAAAGATTTGGGAACTAGAAAATTATAATTTTAAAATAAATGTTATTAATATTTGGTATATTATTACTTGGTGTGACAGCTCAAGGACAAACAACAGGGTATGTTTCTCAAGGAATACAACGAGTAGGAAAAGGGATTAGTTTATTAGAAGAAAAGATGAAAGCATTAGAAGAGACAGAAAGAAATCTTATGATTGAACTTGATAATGACAACCAAGATATGATTCATATTGGATTAAGAAAAGATAGACAGTTGGCTCGCCAAAAGATTAGAGAAGAAAAAAGAGCATTAAGAAAAATTGCTAGAACTAAAAGAATGGTATTAGCTAAAATGTATAAAATTTTAAGAGTTCTTGCACCTGTAGAACAAGGAAGATTAGTAAGACAATTAAATTTGATGAATAGACTTCATGTTAATCACTTAATGCTTTTAGGTGCTGATGAAGCTCAAGCAGTGTTTAACTATGGATTTGTTGCACAACCACAAGTTGATCAATTTAGACATGAAGGAATGATTATGCAAGGAAACGACATGGGGGATTATCTTATGAAAGACAAAGAAACAGATGAAGTTGAAAAACAAAAGAAAAAGATGGAAGAAGTTGAACAACAATTACGAGTTATGGAACAAAAATATTCTACTAATCCATATTTAAAGAATTCATTAAAACAAAGAAGTGCAGAAGTATACAATAAGTTAATGGATGAAATGGTTGTTAAGATTGAAAAAGCAATTTCAAAGAGAGGAAAGGAATCATATATCTTAGCACGTAAGATTGACGACCAAATTGAACAAATGGAAATGAAGATGGAATTAATGACACCAGAAAAAAGACTTGAAACAGTTAAAAAAATTAATATTATGAAAAAACAAAGAAAGAATTTAGATGGTAATGTTGAAGATTATAGAAGTAGATTAATGAAAATGATGAATAAATTAAAACAAAGTTCATTAGTAATGAAAAAAGCAGCAAAGAAAGCTAATAAAATGAACAATTATATTAATAAAAAACATTTAAGTAAAGAAACAGTTGTTAAACATGGAACAGCTGCTGTGTTAGATATTTTAGAAAAGAAAGCAGGAATTGTTATTGATACTAATAAAAAACAAAAAGGGAATACAATGAAATTAATGAGTATTAATCGTACAGCTCCAAAGACTGTTATTAAGAAAGAAGTAAAAAAAGGATTAAAGAGTAAACAAGAAAGTGCAGAAGAAATAATTAAAAAAACAGCAATAAAGGAATTAAAAAAAATTGAACAAGAAGAAAAAAAAAATAAACAAAAAAAACAAACAACAACCAAAAAGAATATTCTTTTAAACAAAGAAATAAAACCATCTGTAATTCAGTCTAAAAAGAGTCTTCAAAAACAAAAGAAATTAATAAAAAAGTTAAGTGCAATGGAAGGGTTATTAAAAGAAATGGCAGCAAGTAAAGAAATGGTAGAAGAAGAAATTCATTCTGCATTAGAAATTTAAATTGAACAATTTTCTTTAAATAAATTAGAAAGAATTTATTTGTTTCAATAAAATATAAAAAGAAAGAAAATTTCAATTATTTAGTAATTTAAATAATTTGAGTAATAGAAATTCTTATTTATTTTTCAAGAATTTATCAATTGTATTTTGAAGAATTGTTTTAAATTGAGAACGATCTGTATCAGAAGAGAAACATAAAATAATATGATCTTTTTTATTTTTTAGTTGTAAAGTGAATAAATTTTCTGATTTACTTTTTTTTAAATCGTCATTGTTAATAATTAATTCATTAAATTTTGAGAAAAATTTAAAAGTATAATTTTCTTCTTTTTCATCTTCTTCTTGTTGTTCTTTAATTATAATAATAGAATCATTAAAAATCATTACAACATATTTTCTATCAGCTTTACCATTTGCTTTTATTGTTTTTATTAAAATTCTACCTTGTGGAATCATTTGAATTTCTTCTGGAATATGAAGAGTTTTTGAAAAGTATTTTTGTGTTTCTTCAGTCAATTCATTAATTTTTGAAGTTTCATTAACTTTATTAGCAACTTCTTGAATCATTTCAAGAGCCATTTTAATATTATCATAGTCAACATGATTTTGTTGAGTATGTTTTAATAAGTCTTTTAACAATAATTGATATCTTGGAAGTCTTTGAACAGGAGTTATTAATAAATCAGAAATTGAACTTTTTGAATAAGGAGATTGTTTATATTGTATTTTAGAATAAAAAGGAGCAAATTTATGTGGATATTTTAATGTTTTAATAAGACCAATTGTGTGTCTAAAGTTAGAACAATATTCATTATAAACTTTTAAAAATGGAATGAATGTTAAAAAAATATTTCCTATTGTTGTGTTAATATTAAATCTCGAACACCCTTTAATTAAATCACTACAAAAAACTTTATTGGTTTGAAAAACAGTTTCTATATTTGAAAATAATGTTTTTTGTTCTTCACAATTTAAAATTTCATTATTACTTTCTAATGGTTTTTTAATATTTTCAATTGTATATTGTAATGTATCAACATAATTAATTTCAGTTGTAATAATTTCATTTACTACTGTTCCTCTATAAATATACTCATTTATTTGAGGTTGAATTTTATGTCTTCTAATAGCTCTTTGTAAAATATTAATTGAAGCAATTTTTTGATATTTTTTAACATACTTAAATAATTCTTCTTTTAATTGAATATTTAATCTAAGTTTATCACAATCACTTTCTTTTAATTCTATCATTTGTTTTCCTGTTATTTTGCATGAAAATAATCTAAATGCTAAAGACCGTTTTCCTTCTTTCATCATTTCTTTTACTAGTCTTTTATTAGTCCATCTACTAACATCACTGTCATAAGCAAAACATTCAACTGGATAATGTTCAATAAATACATGATTTTCATTCATTTAGTTAATTTAACGTTTTTAAGATCATTTCCCCATTTTTGGATTGGATAAATTGTGTTATTTACTACAACAAATTAACTGATTTAAAAATTTTTTTTAGTTAAAGAAAGAAACTAAAATAAAATAATATTTTATAATATTTTAATGATAAATAAATATTTTAAATTGCCTTTTTTTTTTTAATCTTATTCTTTAATGAACTATTTTTATTATTTAAGTCTCAATGTCTGAAAATATCTGTCTAACTCTTAAAGAAAAAAATAAACTTAAAAAAGCCTTCCAAGGTAAAGTTGTTAAAGGAGAACAACTTAGTTATAAAGAACCAACTGAAATAGAAAAATATATAGAAAAATTACAACAAAATAAAGGAGAATATAAATATGCATTTGAAGAGACGAGTGATATGAAAAACTTTAATGAGTTAGTTCCTGATATGAAAAGAAAATATGATTTTGAACTTGACAGATTTCAAAAACAAGCGATTTATCATATGGAATTAGATGAACATGTTTTTGTTATTGCACATACATCAGCTGGTAAAACAGCTACAGCTGAGTATGCTATAGCTATTGCAAAGTCTAAAGGAATGAAAGCAATTTATACATCACCAATTAAAGCATTATCTAATCAAAAATATTACGATTTTAGAAAAATTTTTGGAAAAGTTGGTATTATGACAGGGGATGTTGTTATTCAAGGAGAAGATGATCTTGTTACTATTATGACAACAGAAATTCTTCGTTCTAAACTATATCAAGACTCTAAATTTATTGAACAGGTAGATTGGGTTATTTTTGATGAGGTTCATTATGTTAATGATGAAGAAAGAGGTGTAGTTTGGGAAGAAGTTATTATGAGT